CAGGGGCCGCCTTGGGAGAGCTGGAAAGCCGCCGCCTCGGCCCGGGCCCTTTCCGAGCTTGGTCCCCGCAGTGCGTGGCGCTCGGGGGCTTCGCGGGGGGCTGGATTTTAGCTCAGCAACATCCCGCGTGAGGCGGGGCCTTCTGACGGCCCCGCGCCCGCCTGTGGCACTTGGCGTCCCCTGCGGCTGGACAGCTCGGAGGGCAAACTTGACTTCCCGTGGCGCGCCGGACGCCTGAACTAGACTAGAAAAGGCAAAGTCCCGTGTGAGGGCACGAAGAGGGGAGCAGCCTTCGCCGTGCCCGCTTACTGGGCAGGGAGAGCAGCATTTCAGGCATCTGAGCCCACCAGCAGGGAACCCCTTTCAGAAGGCCAGAACGCTTCTTGTGGGGCTGCAGACACTCCTCAGCCCTTGCTCCCCCACCGCACAATGGCCTCCCACAACAGATAGGGCACCCAGTGCGGCCCGGTGGGTGGGCTGAAGGCACAGGGCGCCCTGCCAGTTACTGTCCGCCGTCTCCCTGGGGCACCTCCTGAGGTGGAAAGACCCTGCCCCTCCATGCCAGCATCATCATCATCATCCTCATCATCGTAAAAGGATGGCCGACTGGTTCACCTCAGTCTTTGCTTCCCATTGCCCCTGGCAGACATACTACCCCTGTAACTAACCCTGCTAGCACTGGACGCTTGGAGAATGGTTTGATGAAGACAAAAGAGGAGACTCATCTCCACCAGCAACATATAATAACCCTTGAACCAGAGAGGCTGCCGCAGTGGTAGGGCCTAAGTGGAATCCCATAAATGGAATGGGAAGGCGGGAACATTATAAGCGGTACTTAGTGGGACTGAGGCATGGAATTCCTACATAAAGGAGTTTGGGTAAGATATAGAACTCCAATGAAAGGCCCTTGAGGCCCTGTATGGGTTTCTTGAAGGGATTATCAAGTTGGTAGTGCTTTGACTTACTTCCAGGTAAACAGAGGATAAACACATGTGCCAGAGCACTTGATATGAGGGAAGCTGCCTTACAGGTGAGTTCTTCCCAGTTGGATGATATCTCCTTCAGAGTTTATAGTGCAGAGGGCAAAGGAGACTTGAGCCTACAGCTCTACATTTTCATAGAGAACACGGGACAGGAGCTAGACAGCACAGAGAAGGGATTTGGAGGGGAAGTGAACCTTTGGAAGAGGATTATGCGATTGGTTATGAAAATCTTCAGAAACCCTGTCTGTTTTGCCTTGTGCTCATAAATTTCATATTCAGTGCCCTGGGCCTTGGTTGGTGCCACAGAGGACATGCCCAGCCTGCAGAGCCTATGTGTAGCTACTAGAAGAACGTCCTCGTCACCCCAGCAGACACTTGCCCCAGTTCTGATAGTGGTGGCTATGCAAAAGAAATTCATTTTTCACACTCCAGATTTTGCTTTTGCCTTTACTGTGAGCCAAGGTGTGAGCCTATACACTCTCAGTATTGTACAAAAGGTGCTGGCTAATCTCATCCAAGCTGCAGCCCAAGAAGACAAGACAAAAGTGTTTAGTATTTGTGAGCAAACTGAAAGGGTTCAAAGAAGATGGATTTTAAAAGTTACTTTATATTTGAACTTAACACTATGCAATTATTTTCCAACGTAATGATAACTGTCTGCCTATATCTTTTTCCTTATTCCACTCACCCTTTACCACCCCCCCAAAACATTCCATTTTAATTTCCTGAAATTCAAGCAAACGTGAAATAGTTGCCATCCTTCTTCAATTTTGAACACTGCAACAGACATCGAAGAAGAATGTGGAATAAAAAAATGTGAACAAAGAACTTTCAGCTTTGACTCATAACTCTGTACTTTCTAGGACTTCTCTGCCTCCAGATTGCCCACCTCCACACCTGGTGATCAGGTCTTAAGACCTGGCAGAGTAGAGATGCCCAAGCTCAACTCATAGCATGTTCTGGTAAGTAGCATGTTTTACTAACCATTCATGTGTCTTTGAAATATGCAGGCATAAAACCTTGGGTGCACCCCTCTAGAGTGAAGAAAGTCCTAGAAGGTAATGACCCAGTGACCAAAATCTATTGGTTTTATCAGCTCACTGAAGACTGTTTAAAAGACAAGAGTCTAAATGTTCTCTTTTCTCTTTCAGTTTTTCTTGCCCAGATGAACACTGGAAACATTGTGATTAGCAAGGCTGTAATCGTCTAACTAAACTTTTTTCCTTTTTCCAAAGTATAAGGTGCATAGACTAACTACTGGAACCATGTTCCCTTATTCTCGAGCTTTATGTTTTTCTCTTTTATCTGGGTTATTGATGTTAAGTACATGAAGTCTTTTCATATCAGGTGATGTGGGAGCTGGAAAATTTAAATTTTTAAAGTCAAAGTCTCCAGTTACAGAGTCAAAATAACAAGTCTGTGGCTTGGCTGTCAGCATTATGGTGAGTTTAGATAGCATCTTCATTACAGTTCAATGGACTTTTTCCACCTAATATTAATGCAAAACTTCCAGAAAACCTAAATTAGGGAAATGCATGGTCTGTTATTTGGTTGACCCAAGGAAAGTGTGGAATCTCAGTAGTGCTGAGAGACACTAATAGAGAACTTAGGGGAGATGAACTTAAGCAGCATCCTGTAAACTGATATGCTGCCCTAGGTAATCTGTAATCATTCCATGAAGTTCACTTGCTATAAACTTGGTATAGTAACAGAAAGCTACAAACATATATAGGATACTGGCATCTATATATTCATGACAACACGTGAAACACCCAAGGCAAAGTCACTGTAATGGAGGCAGTGTATGCCTGGCCTACAGACTGACCATAAGTTAGTGATTGAGGATTTCTTCAGTGAATAAAGAGTAGAAGTAAATGAAGTCATCTGATTGCTAAGGAACATTTCCATAAAGTTTTAACAGTATTACAACTTCTTCCATTATAACTCTTTCCGTGGTTTTCAGTTACATATAGCTCGTGGATAATCCTCACACTTTGATTTTCCTTTGTTCAGATTCTAAATTCTCATATATGTATGTCATTAAATTGTTGGAATTTTGCTTTTTGTTAATTGCCATGTGACTGCATGACTTCTTAATATCAAAGGAAGAATCTCATCCATTTTATTCCTGTTCATAGCCAGATTCTATTTTTATAATTCATCAAATTCTGAGGAAGACTCTCATTCAGGGCTTAAACTGAATTCTCAGATCAGTCAAAAAATGCACTCACAGATTGGAGGGATCAGCATAGTTCAGATTCTCAGTATCTGTTGGGATTTCTTTATTTGGAATCTCAATATCTGGACAAAAGACAACAGACTCAGAATTTTATTTTTATTTATTTATTTAAAGATTATGCATATAAGAACTAGGTACAGCCCAGAAATGGAGTGGTGGGGAGGTAAGAGGACTCACCAGAGACAGAGTGGGGAGCAGAGCAGTCAGATTGTCTGAAATACACTACTGAGGGAAACAGCAGGTGGGACAGGAGAGGTCTGCTGTATCATGTGGGTCACCTCCCTGGCTGGGGATTGAGCTCATGCTGAAGTGACTACAGCTAGCTTCACAGTGCTGCACTTTAACCCCTGTGCCACCAGGAAGGGCCCATCTCAGAACTTTAAACAAGGTTGTCATAGTGGGGGTCACTGGGAAAAATTCCCCCATGCCTCTCAGTTCTTGAGCTAATCAAAAAATTGAACACCAGGCAAATTAGTAAGAGAGGCCATTTTGATTATATGTAGAGAATTGACATGGCTCTAAACTCTAAAGTACGTGGGACAAGGTTTGTATCCTGAGCTTAGGAGTGGGACTGGGACCTGGGTGACAGGGGAGATTCATATGATCTCAACCTTTGTTTCTGTGCCCCCATCTTCACCACCTCTGCTCCAGACCTTAATAGGTATCATTCATTCTGAGACCCTGAGTGTAGTTAACAAATGAGTTTTTGAGAAGGGATCACTTCTGGGCCTCCAAAGGAGCCTGGAGTAGGTGATCAATAGCCTGTCTGCTGACCTGTGAGTTTACTGTTGCCGGGAGACTGGTTTGGGATAAAGCAGATGTGGGAAAGGATTGTTTCAGAAATTTGTGTGCCGCTGGTGGGAAGCGGTTGAGGGTAGCCTGATCTTATCCTCTACGTGGGTCCGTCTGCCCAGTAACAGTTTCTGAACTGCCGTTGGAATCCAAAGCACCATGACAAAGATCAGGCTGTCCTGTCTTTCTGAGGAAGCAGGTAGCTAAGGGTTGAAGGAGTCTGACAAAACCCGAGTAACCTGAGAACTGTCCAGCGTTGAAAAGCTTGGGACAGTTTTGAAGAATAAGGCTTATTAGAGCTTTGTCAATTGCCAACTTTCTGTCTGAAGGAAGAAAATAATAAAATTAAGTTTAAAAGATAGTTTTTTCAGATTAAAAGTATTTCTGGAGAAATACAGATGACCCCAGGTCATCTGTGTTTTAGCACTAGCAGTTTCTCCTGAGGCTCACAGGTCGTCTGTTGACCTGAGCACTACAAGCTCAAGTGGCACAGGGAAAGTCTACTGTGGCTATTTGGCAGAGAGCCCATCTGAACTGTTTTGGGGTGACTGATCCTATGCTAGAGCATAGGGAGAAGGAAGAGACAGTGTCGGCTGGCTTCACCAAGCAGGTGAGTCCAGCCTCCCGTGCAGGGGCCCTCACATTTTCCTGTCCCTTCATGCAGTGAGCTCGAGGTTTGGCCAATGCAGTCACAGACAAGTGAAAATCGTATTAGTTTCCTTAAATGCAAGATCCAGAGAGAAAATCAGTATCTTTAGGATGTTTGAATCAAATAAAACTATATGTAACTGAGATAGAAGCATCGTGCACTAAGAGCTGATTATAACATCGACACTGCGAATTCCAGTAATCATCCTAGACGAGTCAGTAATCGTACTTAATTGTAACACACTCATCCAACATAAAGGAGATTTATTTAAGGAATGAAGACATGATTCCAGCTGAGTATGCATGGCCAAAAAAAAATTCCTGATCGTGTGGCACTTTGGAGGAGTGAGTCAGACAATGAAAATGGTTTATCAACGCATACCATTCACAGCAATATGGATAGAGCTGGCAGGGATTATGCTCAGTGAAATAAGTCAGAAGGAAAAGTTTAAAAATATCAAGTGGTTAACTTATAGGAGGAATTTAAGATGTATAAATAAAATTTTTAAATGTTTAAAAATGTTTTAAAAAATTTTTTAAATGGTTTATCAAAATTGATGTGACTTGGGACCTCCATGGTGACGCAGGGGGTTAAAGCAAAGGACCATGAAGCTATCCAGCCACTGCAGTACCGAGTTCAATCCCCAGCCAAGGAGGTGACCCACATGGTACAGCAGACCTCTCCTGCCTTGCCTGCTTCTCCCCTCAGCAGTGTATTCCAGCAGGTCTGCCTGTTCTGCACCCCATTCTCTGGTGAATCCTCCCTCTCTCTCTCACACGCACCTCTGGACTCCGCCATTCTAAGGAGTAGTACTGGTAGCTGCATAATCCAGCCCAAAGCGTAGTGGTATAAAACAGCACAGGATGAATGGGTTCTGCTTAGGAGTTCGAGCACAGCAGGAAGGACTCTCTTTGCTCCAAGAGGTCAGGGGCCTCTGGTGGACGGACGGTCACTATCTTGAGTTGATTCTAGGGAACCATGCAGAGGGCTGGAGTCTCAGGGCGGCATCTTCACCCAAGCCTCGCCCTTGCATTGCCTGCCAGAAGCCTCCTAGCCTGGGCTTCCCAGCAGCAGGGTGGCCTCACAGTGGTCAGGCTTCTCATACATAGCTCAGGGCTCCCAAACCAGAAACTGCCACTTCGCATCTCATGAAATCCTAGCAAGGTCTTCTGCAGCGTTGCTAGTGGTGTGTGAGATGAGTGATGGGGAGGATGCAAAGACGGGCGCAGATTTGAAAATTAGAAAAGACTTTTCATCTGGATTTCCAGATGAAAGATACATCGGTTTACAGAAATTGCGTATTCCGTAGTTCTTTGTGTATCACTGTCCAAAGTCGCAAGATCTGCCTCCGGTCCTGACCTGTAAAAGTCTTGCGTGCCAGCGTCGCCTCCACCCTCGGCGCTCGTGACCAGAGCAGGTGTGCGCTTCCACGTGGGCCCGCTAGGGGGCGGAAGAGCCACTTTTGAAACCCGATGTTTTGAGATTTAGGATCTAGTGCCTCGGGGATGAGTACTTGTCACAAGTGACACACGTTCTGCTGCATTGCTAGGTGGCCCCATGGTGTAATGGTTAGCACTCTGGACTTTGAATCCAGCGATCCGAGTTCAAATCTCGGTGGGACCTTGTCAGATTTTTGAGGACATTTTTCTTCTGTGACCTAGACTCTTCCAAGTAGCATTTCCCCTTTGATTGAGCCATATGACAGACATGCCAGCCACCCGTCATATAGCAACGGTATCATTGTCAGCCTTTGCTAGTCTCCCTGAAGCTGTCGCTAGGCTGAAAACTACCCTGAAAGAAACCCGCTTACCAGGGACAGGGTCACCCCTGGGCTGGAGTCTGAGTAGGAAGCTGTGTGTGGCTAAGGAAAGATTTCCCGCTTTTGAAAGAGTGGCAGGTTACTCTAAGGCTGGGAAAGCAGGAAGGGATCTGAAGGTGGCAGGTGTGAATGAGCCATTCTGCTCTCTGGCCAATGACCCCAGCAGTGTGGCAGTCAAGCCCACCCAGGCCGAGCACACAGGCTGCCTCATCCCACCATAGCTGCATGGTATTTAGATCCTTTCTTAGGCCTAATGTCAGAAACACCTTTGCCCCTGGGTTAAGTCGATCTGCGTGGGACTCTTCACACTGCAAGCAGCAACTCACGAGTGAGCAGCCCTTGCTGCCGCTCGGAATTCTAAAGCTGGACAAGCCCTTCCCTCTTGGCTTGAAGCAACTTGGTACATGTCAAGTGGCCATCCTCACCTGCCTACATCTGCCTGGATTGTCAGCCTTCCTACCACACATCCCTATTCGAGTCACCACCGACAGTAAAACATACCTGTATTGTCCACTTCCCAACTCTCTCATTTTCTAAGTACAAAGGGTTGCCTTCTCTGCCCTGCCCTTGAGAGCTAATCCTGTCCCCTCTCCTCAGCTCTGCTGAGGCCTTCATTGGCTCCTTTGACCTTGGGTGTCTCATGTGTTCCCCAGACCCCTCAATTCCTCTTTACTGTCAGGTTAGTAAACCTCTTCTCTGGAGAGTGGAGGGACCACCCCCGAGGCCACGTTCACCTTTCAGTGCCCAGCCCCACACCCCAGCTCCGGTGATAACCTCCCAAGTGCTTGCTGGGTGTATAACTTTCATCTGCTTTCACACCCCAGGAGAACTCGTGACCATGTTGAGTTCCCCAACAGTCTGTTCTGCTTCTTCCCACACTTCTCTTTCTTCAAGGACCCCAAGTCCATGTCCACCCTCAGACCCAATCTTCGCCCAAGACTGGAGCGGAAGTCTCCTGGAGATGAATGTCGCCCAAGATCCTTCACCCTACTTAAGTCCAGTCAGGTGGACTGGATCTGGGGGGTGGGGGAGGAAGGGCTCCCATATTGCAAGTTTGGGATGAGAATTCACCTCAAGAGAAAAGGGTCCCTTTCACTACACTCTCGGTCTGTTGCTCTGAAGTATGTGCCTCCTTTCGGCTACCTCCTGATTGTAGGGAGCCCAGCATCTGTCAAGCATCTTGTCTCTGTAGACTAAACACTTGTAATAAAAGATGTTTGAACACTTCACAGTGAGCAGGATTTGGGCTGAGGGTGCCTTCTGAGGGCAGGCAAAGGAGCTGGGGCCTACTTAGAACGGCTTCCCCTGCTGTGCTCAGGAGTATGCCGAGTGCCGGACTCTGGAGGGCAGGTCACAAGCACCTTCCTGGTCGGGTGCATTATTGTTAAGTGATGGGTAACAGCCCAGGTCAAGGCCAAGAGGAGCTCCTGGAAAGTATGCCTGAGCTAGTGCCTTCATCGTTGGCTCGTTGTGTCGAGGGTCCAAGACTCCAGAGGGCTTTCCCACGCAGGGTGAACAGCCTCTCCACTGGAAGGGCCTTTTCCTCGTCTGTGCCAGGTTTTGAGTTTGGGATCTTGTATGGAAGATTTTACCCCCTTCCTGCGGCTTCACCACACCCTCTGCTTGGCCATCCTCGACCGCTGTTAGAGTTGAGAAACGCTCCCAGCCCAGCTTTCCAGAAAATCGCCAATGTCAAGGCTTGGTCTAGTCAGGGTCACCCACAAGAAGGGCGGTATTTCAGGGCGACTTCCCAGGGCCGCGGGGTGTCCTGCGGCCTGGTTTGCGCTTGACGCCCGTGTCCACCAGAGGGCGCCCGGCCCCGCCGCCGCAGCTCTTCTCCCCCAGCCCGGGACACGGCAGCGCCCTCGAGCCGCGGGCGTCGGCTTCCCCGCGCGGGCTCCGCCGTCGTCAGAGATTCTCGCGACCTGCTGCTGTGCCCTGGGGCCCCATGGTGTAATGGTTAGCACTCTGGACTCTGAATCCAGCGATCCGAGTTCAAATCTCGGTGGGACCTCAGCCTGGGCTTTGTTTTAATTCCCATTTCCTCTCTGCAAGCTGTCAGTTCACAATTTGTATCAAACAAACCCTTAGCACTTTCCATATACACACGCGCGAGCTAACTGGTGGGGTGGAAAGTCCTGCCCCTTCTAGATTTCCACGCAATTTAGTTTTCTATGTAACATTTAAATCCTTATTAAAATTTTTATTTTTTTTTTTGCTTGCATGCTACCATTACAGCACAGTTTAAACCGTGGGAAAAACATTTGAAATACAGACTTAAGGACACTGCAAATACTAAACAACTCAATTTTTATATTTTTTTCTGTTTACCATAGTATGTTATTAGTTTTTAAGCATAAAAATGCAGTAAACCGGTAAAAATTCTGTGAGAGAGAATTAGGAAGCCATAAACATTTGAAAGAGAAAAGGAAGTCATAAACATTTTTCTACTGCTACATGCCAAATATGTGTTAAAGGACACTAATGCATGTCACATTGTTAGTTTTTAGGTCCCATTGGGCAACATTCAAGGAGTAATTGGACTGTATGTACAAAATTCACCATATGCTGACAATTCCTCTCTTTGGAATGATTTAAATGTATGAATGGCATTTTAGAAGACCCCTGGGAAACAGCGCATCTGAACACAACAGTATTGCGGACTCCATAAAGACCCTAAGGAGTGTCGTAAAACAAGGAAGTCGTAGACCAAACCAGCCCTCACCTCATCATTCGTTTCTAATTTTCAGGAGTTCTTTTCCCCTCTGTATTTTTCCATCTGTATGTGCATTTAAAATGGTCTGATTTCTTGTAAATGGTGTGCTAGGATTTTGCAGGCTTTCAATGAGGAATGTTTTTATTATATCTTTGTTGCTCAGATATTTTTGATGCAATTATTTCCAACAGAACATGTTTTCTCCGGAGTTCTCAAGAATTGCAACAACATGCTTTATTTAGTTAGTTTCTGAGTCACTAACCTACCTGGAACTTGATTTCTTAGGTGCTGGGAGGTAGATGTCCAGCCTTGTTTTCTTGCTGTCACCTTTGCCTGCTGAAGGGAAAAGCTTCATATGTAAATTTCCATCCTCTCCTCTCCCCCCCATCCATTTTCAAATGTCTGTTTCCTCTCTATCTGCTTTTGACAATGTTATGATCTATTGATTGGATTTTCTTGTAACAAATTTTCCCTCCTCAGGTGTATTTGGCGTTGTCAGTTACAGGACAGTAAGATGAAGAGAGGAAGGCTGGAGACTCAAATGTTTCACTTTGCAATTTCTTGCTTCTGGAGCAGGAACTGAGAGCCGGGGAGGCTGCTGCTGAGCCTTTGTTCAAATTGAGCGGGAGGAGAGAAAGCCCAGGGCCTGGGATTCCACTCCTGGGGATCTCTGTTTACTCAGTAAACTGCTCAGGCCATTCCACTGGGTAGTTGCCCTGGTGAACCCTGCAGAAAGGTTCCAGAAACAGCCGCAGCTCATAAAGGGGCTTCAGATTAGCTTAGGGTGTTGGGGATAAAGGCCATAGTTTGCGCGCATGCAGCAGGGCTCCATCCCTGAGGGACAGCTTCTCATGTTCACGTCCCACACCCGTGCAGCGCCGGTCCACGGGGCAGCTTCTCGTGGTTCCAGGCAGACGGGCAGCCCCGGAGGCCTCAGCAGCTTTGTCAGGTGTTCAGTGGCCTTTCTATATCATTTGCTGAGGTGGCCAGGTGCAGGGGGCTGAGGGTTGGCGGGCCTCCCAGGCCTGGCGTCTTCACTCCCTGCCCCTCCTGTCCTCTGTGACGCTGCCCTTAGAGCCACGCACCCCTGGTGTCCACCTCAGGCACCCACACCCCGAGCCCAGCTCCCAACCAAGTCCACAGCTGGGCCAGGACACCCCGCTCGCCTGGTTGGCTACCCTCTCCCTTCCCGGCTACTCGCACACCGCACACCGTGGCTGTGTGCTTCCTGGCGTGAGCTGAAGGACTGTTGGGGGCTGTCAGAAGCACATGGAGAGCATCATTGTTTTGTCCCAACTTCTGTGACCGGCTGCAAGAAGGAAGGCGCGAGGCAGAAGGCTGAGCAAGCAGAGTTTATGGCTCCGGGACAGCAGCTGAGACGGAGCCCCTAGAGTGGGGTCCGCAGCTACTGCCAACCCAATAAGGGGGAAAGCGTCTGTTACATAGATTCCCAACTCAGATTCCAAAGGGGGTGACTCATCGCTGTGTCCTTGATGTAAGGCCCAGTTCGTTATCACCTTCATCTAGTCCCATCCCGACGACGGAAGAACCCGTTAATTAGATGCAAGGCCCAATTTATTACCACCTTATCACCTTTGGATGCAAGGCCTGATTTATTATTGCCCTTATCCAGTCCCTCAGTAAATCTCCGCATTTGGTCACTCCCAACAATCATTGTGTCTGTCACAGGCTGCCGCCAGCAATGCAGCAGACTGACAGTTTCCAGCCCTGAAAACCCACGGAGGTTTCTACAATATGCATGAACCACAGAACTTTCTCGGTGTGGGAAGAGCAGAAAGCGCAAGCTAAGCTGGATGCAGCTGAAGTGAGGCCTGGAAGGGAAACAGCCCGCGGCCGGCGGTGAATTCAGGCAACCCTGCTTCCTGCCGGTGAGTCCTTGAAACTTTCTACTGTTTCTACACTTTTAGTGTCTCCTTCAAAGCAGAGTCCGGCCTCAAAAACGGGGCATCTGCAGGGAACCCCCAACATGTACAGCTGAAAAGAGAAACCCTGGGGGTCCTCTTCTCTGGCCTCTGGCGAGTGCAGCAAGCTATACCTTTTCCTCCAGCATGAATTCAGTCTCCTCTTGGCAAGCGACACTCTGACTCTTTTGGTCCTGTTTCATGGCCACTTTGGGTCAAACTCCTTAGAAAGTGCGGGGCTCTTTCCCCTCTCTGGTGAGGTACAGGGGTCTGGTGACTCCGGCCCCAGAGATTTGCTACCACTGTCACCCACAGCCGAGGCCGTGGAAGAAAGGCATCACCCTGGAGGTGTTTTGGGCTTTGATTCAGCTGGGCCCACCGGGCTGAAGAGCCCCCTACCCGCCATGGCCCAGGCCAGGGACTCGAGGCTGCCGCAGTCCGCGGTGGGCCTGTATCTGTAGGCTGCTGCAGGCCCTTTGTGTGAGGTAAATCTACCTAGAGCCGGATGGAGAGCTGGGAGGCTCTGTGCCTGCCTCCTCAGGCCCTCCCGCTGCTATGCCTGTGTGCCTGCTCCCCTGAAGGAGCATCACAGCGTGAAACCGCCTAAGGGCTCCGTGACTCTCCATAGCAGTCAGTCCATAGCAGTCCGTCAGAATCCCTAGTGACGATGCCTGCGCCTGCTGGGACTGGGGAGTCTCACTGGGGGGCTGCTCACGGTCCTGTAGTTGGGTCTGGGGCACAGTCTCCGGCCTGCGGTGCATGGATACAAGCGAGGGCCAAATAAAAAACCTGACTCCTGTTCCAAAGCAGGAGTCCTGACTCCTGCTCCCGCCCCGGCAGGCACCTCTGGACTTGAGCGGGGCGGTGGGTCTCCACAGCCCTCAGGCTGGCTCCTGCACTGGGGAGCTTGCAGAGGCAGGCGGAGATCATGTTCAGCAAGCAGTTACTTATGTGGAGGCAAACTGAGGGCAACTCGCTGAGAAGGAAGTGTTCCCCCGGGGCCCCACTTGCTGAGATCTCTATCATCAGTGTGGACACAAGGGCCTGCCTTCCCGGCGGGCGGTCTGTACTCCATGACCGCCTTCATTGTGGTGGTTCTTAATCAGCCTCGGTTCTCGCAGGGGAGCCCGTTGTCGCTGCATCCGGGACCTTGGCGCAGGCTGTCGTGTGAGCCCTTTCTCATCCTGGAGGCAGGTTGTTCCCGCCGCCACAGCCGCAGCCCTGGCGGCAGCCATGTCTCACAGCGGCCTCAGCTTCTTTCAGCGGGGCTAGAAACCGGTATCGGGGGCCCAGTGTTCTCCTCCTCCTATGCCATGTGTCTCACGGCCGTCTCAGGGAAAGACCTAGGAGACACAGCGCACGTGCTCACACCTGCGTGAGCATACACAGGCAAAAGCCACACAGATGCTCAGCATGTGAGCGCAGTGCACATGGCCACCCGCGCGCGTGCTTGAGAGATGTGGAGCTCACACCTGTACCTCCAGGCCACGCCATCCTTGCACGCACGCCTTCTGCAGTGACTCCTCTAGCTCCCGCTGCATGGGCATGTTTACGCACTTGTTTGCTGCGCACCTACAAACGTGTCGAGCTGCTCTGGCCAGCCACTGCAGAATGCTACAGACTGGACTGGTTTTCAGTTCCCCTCTAACGCCCACCCCCTGGGCCAGGGTGTACCCTCAATGCTCCGTAACTGATAACAGAAGGTACAAATCATTTGCATTTAGTTTGGGGTTTTTTCCACCTCTGCTTCCCATAGCTGATACTACTTTTTGAAAAAGGACCTTACGTGCTTTCAGCAGTTAAAACAAAACCAAGAAGTATACTCAGAGAAACTCTTCTCAAGTCCCTCTGGCGCCGCGTCCCTCACGGCTCTTTCTGTCTTTTTCCGTCATCCGTGGCGCTGGTTTACCTTTGTGATACTCTCAGAGTGAAAAAACATAGGTCTGTGTTTTCCAACTCCACTTTTTGGAAAAAAAATAGCACACTATAATTTCCTCTGTAACTTCTCCTCCACTTGACAGTATTCCTGGAAATCACTCCCTATCTTTTTCTAAGTGCACAATACCTTTTTGTTTGAGTACATATGTCACGATTTATTCAACCAATCTTTTATGCATAGACATTCAAAGTTAGTTGCTTTTAGGGAGTCAGCAAAGTGAACATGTTTGGTCTTATCCAACAAGAACATTTTCACCAGCAAAGTAAAAGAAAACGGGCCTACCTTATAATCTATATTGTAGGCTAATATATATGTTTTACATTATATATATGTATTATGTGTTATCAATGTTATACATAACTATGTATGTTATGTGTTGTTACGTATCATGTTCTAACATAATATATGTAACATATATTGTGTTATAATATACTGTTTATATATTATGTCATATATAGATTTATCATTGATATATATACAAGTGATATAAAATTATATTGTAAATGTTAATAAAATGTATTTTTATTAACATTTTTGTTCTTACTATTTCACTGTGTGAGTTCTTATTATTTAAAAGAGTGAACATTTTCTAGCCACCGTATAGGCACTGGTTAGAAAGTGTTTTCCTTATGAATATTTTAGTGTGAAATATTTTTTTAAGACTTTTATTTATTTGTGCATACAGAACTGGGGTACAAGCCAGAGGTGCAGGGGCAGTGAGAGGCTTCACCAGAGACAGAGTGGGGAACAGAACAGGCAGATCAACAAAGTACACTGCTGAGGGGAGCAGCGGGCAGGTCAGGAGAGGTCTGCGGAGCGCCATGTGGGTCACCTCCGGGGCGGGCAGGTTTCGAATTCATGCTGAGGTGGCATTAGCCTCCCAGTGTTGTGCTTTAACCCGCTGCGCCACCAGGGAGGGCCCAATGTGAAATATTTTTAATAGAGTAGGTGTGCAAAGAGAGTGTGAAGAAAAGATTTCAAATAATATTTTCCCAATAAAATTCCAAAAATTGGGACCTCCTGGTGGTGCAGGAACTAAAGACAATGCTATCAAGCCATCGCCAGCCCCTACAACATGAGTTTAGTCCCTGTCTGCCAGGGAGGGGCCCACATGGCTCAGCAGCCCTCTCCTGCCCCCCCCCCCAGCTCCCCTCAGCGGTGCATTTCAGTAGCTTCACCTGTTCTGCTTCCCACTCTGTCTCTGGTGACTTTTCTTCTCCACACACTTCTGGCATACGCCCAGTTCTGTATGCATAAATAAATAACTTTTTAAATACATAAAGAAAAATTCAAAAATTACACTTGTGGGTAAACACTAGCCAAAAAGTATCCACCCAAAGTGGGGCTAGTGAAGCCAAAGAAATTGCCACAGATCTAAGGCACTTTTTGGTAGGGACCCAGGAGAAAGGGGTCAGGCAGGTCCCAGACAGCTGAGATAGGAGATGAGACCCAAAATTCAAAACAGACACATGATCCAGCATGAGGTCAGAATAACGGGTGTCACTGTCTCTGCCCAGGGCCGGGAGCTGCCTCGCTAGTGCCCCCTGCCAGTGTCTCCCCGAGTGTCTTCACGTGTCTCCCCTCCACGTTCCTTCACACGTGCCCCTCACATTTCTCTCTGAAGTATTTTAACTAGTAACTTTTCTCAAAAAGTTTTAGCACATGCATCAGTAAGATTTCCATGCTGCTTTATTCTGCTGCACAAAATGTTGTGTATTAACATAAGCCAATGTCTTCTTTACCTCTCTTTTTATTTCTCCATAAAATGACCATGAATATAGTTCATGGAAGTAAACTGGACCTGGGAGACAGCAGCTGTTGTGTAATGATGAATAAAAAAGTGAAAGAGCGAGAAACTGACAACCCAAATCAAGGCTGTAATGAAGATTTACAGTTACCAAAGGTATAAGGTAAAAGTAAGTATTTTCCCTTTGAGTGGTCAGAAAACATGCAAGAATATATAAAATCATATGAGGTAAAATTACCTCAGTAGGTCCTATTCACGGGAAGATAAGCTAATTTGTGCCTCCTCTTCCTTTATTCTAGAGGTGAGATTTGCCTGTTTTGAAATGAAAACAAAGAAGTTAGGGCAGAAAGAAAAAGATGCATTGTATTAAATCAAATACATTTACTTTCTGAGAAGCCATGTTTTCCCCAAGCCTCAGGGACACAGGCAGGAGGAAAAGTGTAGCAGAGGATGGTTTCGATCCATCGACCTCTGGGTTATGGGCCCAGCACGCTTCCGCTGCGCCACTCTGCTCGGCAGTAAGCCTTTCTTGAGCATTCTCCTTATCATGCAAAAAA